TTTAAACTTTAAATAGATAGATTAATTAATCTAAATATTTTAAAATTACATCGTATAATGTACCTACATTTTAAAATACGCAATGGCTAAAAGTTTCAAATTTCTATACAAATAAATATTAAATTTGTTATTACGTTAGAATATTTGATGTCGTCAAAATTGTTCATAACTTGTGAATTAAACTCGTAAATAATACATATATTTACGATATATATATATATGACATATATGACTTTACGCGCCAAACTATTTTTAAAATTAAATTCCATTAATCTTATGAATAGGTAATCTTCTATTATATTTTCAACCCTTTATTATGAAAGTTAAAAATTATATTAATTTCAACATAATGATTTACAAATTTTCTTTATTTTGTGAAAATTTAAATTCTTAACGCGTTTACAAGAATTGTGACTGTATTTTTGATATTTTTTTAATTTCTGTAACAAAACGCATGGAAAATCTTTAATTATATTATATTATTATAAACATTTTATCTTCCATAAATAAAAAAAAAAACTAAAAAAGCGGGTAAGTTGATGTCGCTCTGCAGTACAGTAGGTTATAAGTGGGTTACTATAATAGATGGTATTAAATTTGAATTCAATGATGTAATATCATTGCATACGAAAAACGATTATGAGTGGAGATGGTTTATCAGTCTAGGATATGTTATACTATATTAATAATACTGATTACTGTTTTAATTTAAAAAAAAAAAAAAACATTGTCCGTAATTATTTAATATTATAAAATCGTGAAATCGTACGTTTTTTCTCCTATAACCACTTTTATTTCGAGTACCGTTTCGAAAATCCAAAAATTACCTAACGTATAAGCTCAAGAACATAACCTTTCAGAAAAGATGCTACACTTGATACTTTTGAGCAAGTTTATAGGGAGAAAAGTGTTTACAGAATAAAAAAAAACATCATTGTAAAACCAATACCTACATTCCTCGCTCAGCTCAGAATCTAAAAGAAGTACATTTTAAATATCTATAAATAATACTAAATAAACCAAAATTAGGTAGGTATAGGTATACCTATATAAATATAATGTCTGAAAAAGGAGAAATACAACATTCCACCCAACTTGTATGGAGCTCTGGGACCGAGCAACGAGACCACATCGAACATGATAGCCTTTCTCAAAGGATCGAATTTATACAACAAAATTTAAACATATTGGAAAAAAAAAA